CTGCTGAGCGGGCTGGGGGAGCTGCAGCTGGAGATCGTGCTGGACCGGCTGCAGCGGGAGCACAAGATCGCTGCTGCAGCAGGGGCCCCGCAGGTGAGCTACCGCGAAACCGTTGCTGCAGCAGCAGCAGCAAAAGGCCGCTACGTGAAGCAGTCGGGGGGCCGGGGCCACTTCGCCGAAGTCTGGCTGCGGGTGGCCCCGGGGGCCCCCGGCAGCGGCTGCTGCTTCGTGGACGAGAGCCGCGGGGGCTGCGTGGGCCCGTTTGCTGCTGCAGTGCGGGCGGGGGTGCAGCAGCAGCAGCAGCAGGGGCTGCTGCTGGGGGCCCCCCTCGCGGACCTGCAGGTGACCCTCTTCGACGGGGCCCACCACCCCGTCGACAGCAGCGAGCTCGCCTTCCAGCTCGCGGGGGCCCTCGCCCTCAAGGGGGCCCTCAGCAGGGCCCAGCCGCTGCTGCTGGAGCCCCTCGTGCTGCTGCAGATCTGCTGCCCCCCGCAGTTCCTGGGGGCCGTCGTGGCCGACCTGGCGGCCCGCCGCGGCGCCGTGCTGCAGCTGCGCGACGCCCCGGGTGTACGTACACCCGACGCCCGCGCGCCCCACGCGCAGCCGCAGCCCTGGGGTGTACGTACACCTGCCAAGGTCCTGCACGCGCACGTGCCGCTCGCCGAGCTCTTCAACTACACAACTGTTCTTCGTTCGCTTTCCCACGGAAGAGCCTCCGCCTCCTCTTCCTTCCTCAAGTACGTCCCGGTGCCGCCCCACATTCAGCAGCAGCTCGTCGAAAAGCGCGCCGGAAAACTCAAAAGCTGACGCCCCCCGCCGCCCCTGCTGCTGCTGCTGCTGCTGCTGCTGCTGCAGCGGGAAGCAACCGGCGGCTGGTGCTGCGGCTGATGCTGCTGCTGCTGCTGCTGCAGCTGATGCTGCAGCTGATGCTGCAGCTGATGCTGCAGCTGATGCTGCAGCTGATGCTGCAGCTGATGCTGCAGCTGATGCTGCAGCTGATGCTGCAGCTGCTGCTGCGAGAGCCGGACTGCAGGGCAGAAGCAGCTGCTGGGACCGGCAGCACCGCAGCGCCCCGCTGTCGCGGCTGCTGCTGCTGTTGCTGCTGCTGCTGCAGCAGTTGCTGCTGCTGCGGAGAGCTGCACACGCGCTCTGTATTGACTAAAACTGCCGATAAAGACTCTTTGGTCTGCCTCTGTGGTGTCTGTACACCTGCCCAGTGCGCCAGCTCTACTTTGCCTAGAAACTGCCAGCACCGGAAAGATCACTCTTGTTTCATTTTAATCTAATTTAATCTAATCTAATTTAATTAATTTAATTTTTATTTTTCTGTTTGTCTTCGGAGGCCCTGCCAGAAAGCAGGAAGCGCGGCGTTGCCTGGGGTGTACGTACACCCCAAACACTACTGTGCAGCAAATGCCTCAAGTGCTGCCGCCCTACTGGCGATCACTTAATTGCATGCACACGGTGACTTGCTGCTGCTCTCTGCTGCTGCTGCTGCTGCTGCTCTCTGCAGCAGCAGAGGGCAGCAGCTGCTGCTGTCTGCTGCTTCTGCTGCTGTCGGCGGCTTCCGCTGCCCCCAGCAGTAGCAAAGACCAGCAGCGGCAGCTGCTGCTGCTGTCTGCAGCTTCTGCTGCCCCCAGCAGCAGCAGAGAGCAGGAGCCGCGGCTGCTGCTGCTGTCTGCAGCTTCTGCTGCCCCCAGCGGCAACAGGGAAAAGCAGCCGCGGCTGCTGCTGCTGGAAGCAGCAGAGGCTGCTGACAGCAGCCTCTGCTGCTTCCAGCAGCAGCAAACAGCAGCAGCTGCTGCTGCTGCTAGACCCCCCGCCTTCCCTCAGCTGCTGCCCTTGGGCTCTTTTTCCGCTGCGTCCCCTGGGGGCTGTTCGTTCGCGTTGTTGGGTGCTGCTGCTGCTGCAGCTTCTGTTTCTGCTGCAGCAGCAGCACCAGCCCCGTTCGCTGCGCCCTGGCTCTCCTGCCCCTCCCCCTGCTGCTGCTCCTGCTGCTGCTGCTGCTGCTGCTGCTGGGTGGCCTCCGTGCTGCTGGCGTCCCCGCAGTAGTCCTGCAGCGATAGCAGCACGGCCTGCCGCAGCTCTTCGTCCATGTCTTCGAGGCCTTCGATTTGTGCTGCTCCGGGGGGCAGTTCGGCGCTGCCTGCGTTGCAGCAGCAGCAGCCAGCAGCAGCAACACTAATCAGTTCATTTGAACTCCTTAACCAAGCCCCGGAAGCAGCAAAACTATTCAATTAATTCACTACATATGTTTAAAACTATTCCGCAAAAACCCCACAAAAAGAAACACTTTACTCTCCAAACGAGAAGCTCTAGCTTCCCCTGCTGCTGCTGCTGCTGCTGCTGTTGCCGCTGCTGCAACCAGGCTCCAGCGCAAATAAACTGCAGCAGCAGCAGCAGCACCCGGTGCTGCTGCTACTGCTGCTGGTGCTACTGATGCTGCTATTGCTGCTGCTGCTACTGCCGCTGCTGCTGCTGCCGTACCTGCGGCGGCTGCGGGCTGTCCCGCTGGGGCGGTTGCTGCTGCTGCTCCTGCTGCTGCTCCCTGCTGCTGCTGCTGCTGCTGCCGCGCCTCCTCCAAAGACATGCGCAGCACCATATAAAGGTCTGGGTCTACATTGGGGTCAACTCCGAATTCGTTCACAGCGCTGTCGCCTCCTGCTGCTGCTGCTGCTGCTGCTGCTTCGGGGTCGTGCAGCAGCATGGCAGACACCATTACATCGCTCAACAAGCTGCTGCTGCCCGCGGGATATTCCACGAAGCGGCTGCGAACAAAACAGCCACTCAGGATGCACTGCTGCTGCTGCTGCTGCTGCTGCTGCATCGCGCTGCAGCAGCAGCAGCACGCGTGGTTGCAAGGTGCTTGCTGCTGCTGCAGCAGCAGCTACACTCCCGAGGACCAAATACGAAGGAGACCCGCAGCACATAAAAGAATAAAGAACCTAGAGTGGCAAAAGAGCTGCTGAAGCTGCTACTAGTGCAGCAGCAGCAGCAGCTGCTGCTGCTGCTGCTGCTGCCGCTGCTGCTGCAGTGCAGCAGCTGTGGCTCCCGGCTGACCTTGTGTCGTTGCTGTTGACTGCTGCATGCATCGCCGTCAACTTGGCTCTGTTCTCCTCCACATTCGCGAGACACACAATATCTACGCAGCAGCAGCAGCAACACAGCAGCAGCAGCACAGCAGCAGCAGCAAGCGATGAGTTCCGCGGCGGCGCCGCAGCAGCAGCAAGAATGGCCTGCAGCACGTGGGGCTGCATGCAAAGAAGTACAAGAAGACATTTAAAATGAAAAGAATTCAATTTGTAGACACAAACAGATCGGAAAAAGGCAAAATTAAAAATGCCATTTTGTTTTAAATGGAAAACAAATAAATTAGTTTTAAATTGCTTCCAATTAATTCTAATCTTTCTTTAAATGCCACAAACTCACCCAAAGCTATGTTGTTCTTCTTCAGCTGACGTCCCAGCTGCACCAACTGCTTCTCACTTGCCACCTGCGCAGCAGCAGCAGCAGCAGCAGCAGCGCAGCAACAGCAGCACGAAGTGTTTCAAGGAACTGCGAGCGCATGCAGAAGCCCACTGGCCTGTCTTTGCAATGCATGCAAAGAGACGAAAAGTCTTGTAAGAGAACAAGAGCATTTAACATTTAAAATAAAATAAATAAATATATTTAAAAACAATTAAAATTAAGTTTCATTTAAAGGACAAACTCGAGAGCCAAAGTGAAATATTTGAAAATGCAAAAAACTGCTGCACGGCTTTCCGTGCAGAAAAGTGGAAATGGAAAAAAACAAAATTGAATTAAGATGCAAAGACTTTGCAAATTAAAAAGCAGATAAATAAATAAAAATGCAAACTAATTTGCAAATTAAAAAGCAAACAAATCAATTAAAATGCAAACTAATTTGCAAATTCAAAAAAAGAAAAACTTGAAGTGCTGCTGACCACTGGACTCCCCACGAAGAGCAGAATCCGCTGCCGCTGCGTCTTGTTGATTCTGTGTTTCAGCGCGAGCTGAAAAAAAGAATTAAAAAAAAGGAATGAAAAGAAAATCAAAAACGAGAACGCGCACAGGTCCGAGGTGTACAGACACCTCAGCGCGCGGCGCGCAACGCGCTCCACAAGAGCCCCGAAGTCGCCACGCAACATTATTTTTAAATTTAAATATTTAAAACGCAAAAGTAAATAAAGTGGAAACTGAAATGGGGAGAATGGAGGAAGGACGGAAGCCGCGAAGCTGGAGTGTACGTACAGCTCGTCATGTGCACCGGGATGATTCAACTTCTTCCCAAACGCGCTCTGCGCGTTGAAATAATGAATTAAATTAATTGATTTTGATTTATTTATTTTATTTTTAATTATTTTGTTCATTTAATTCCTCCTTTCCTCACTTGCGCCACCAAAATGCCCCTCACGAAGTCCGCATCTCCCTTCGCCGCTATTTGGTGGAACGCCGAATGAATCCGCCCAAACTCCGAAGTCGGCGCCACTGCAACACGGGCCCTGCAAACCAGCAGCAGCAGCAGCAGCAGCAGCAGCACATGTGTCAGCAGCAGCAGCAGCAGGGGCGGGAGCCGTGGAGGCTCATCTGGCACATATGCGGGCTCGGCGCGCCGCAGATCGTTTCCGCCGCGCCCCCCGCAGCTCCCACCTCCGCCCCAGCCCCCGCAGCAGCAGCAGCAGCAGCAACAGCAGCAGCAGCAGCAACAGCAGCACCAGAAGCACCCCCGAATCAGCGTCAGCAGCACCACCCGCCCACCCCCACCCGCATCAGCAGCACCCCCCGCACCAGAGCCACCCCCGAATCCGCGTCAGCAGCAGCACCCCCCCCGCAGCAGCAGCAGCAGCCGCAGCAGCAGCAGCAGCAGCAGCAGCAGCAGCACGGACCCGTCTCCGGACATGGTGACGACGCCCACGGCGTTGTCTCTGTGGGCGTTCAGCTTCGCGTTGGCCAACAGACTCAGCGCGTCGAGCTGCGCAGCGAGCCGCGAGGGCTGCAGGTCTGCGTCGCGGCTGTAGGCGCTGCTGTCCACGCACACCACGCACGCCTCCAGGCTCATCGCGCTGCTGCAGCAGCAGCAGCAGCAGCAGCAGCAGCA